CGGATTAGTGAAGGTATGTGTTGCTTACGCAGTCTTGCCTAACCTTAATATCCTCATTTGTGCCGCCTGTATTTGAAACAATACTACCTAAATAAGCGAGAGAGAGATGAGTTTCTTTAGATTTCTTCAGATGATGGTGATTGGTACTTGTTGTTGGTAGTCGGGTATCTACCTCTCCCCAATCTCCTCTATGTTCATTTACAGTCCTGTCTCTCCAAGTGTCAGGTGGTTAATTTCACTTTCAGACACAAGTGCAACTCACATGAACTAGTTAGTTAGCCAGGGTTCCACTATCATAGATGACACTGAAATTGAAACGAAATCGAATGTTAAATACTTTGGACTGTCCTATTTCCTCTGATCATCTTTCCTAGTCTTTCCCCACATCATGTTAGTCTCCAGAAAGATATTTCGTCTGACATTCTATGTAAGGAAGCTAAGATGATCTTGCATCATTCTGTCTCTACTGCTGTCATTTGCTAGTTCTATCCTTCTTTACTCCCACTTAAGAAAGACTTTGTTATACTGCGTTGGGCAATAAAAGCCATTGGTAGGGCAAATGGGGTGTCAATAAACCAACTTGTTAGTATTGTTGTAGATAGACTGATGGACTCCTGGAAGAAATTAGCAAATATTATCCTGTCAGACTGTGAACATCCTCTCTCTAAAACACAACTGTCTTCTTGCATCTCATCAGCTGGGTACAACTAGAAGCAACTACAGAAGACTGTATGCTTCGAAGACTTACTACAAAAGCTCTACAATAGCTTATTTGACTGACACACATTTTATGTGATGAGAAAGGTGTGTATAAGACAGGAGATGACCAACTTACTGAGGAACTCTAAGTAGACGACATTGTTTTTTGTACTCATTATTACCCCCTGTAGTTAATATTTTCGCTTGATTTAATTTTAATATTCACTTCCCATTGAAAAATATTATTAACTTAAATGCCGTATTTTAATTATTGCCCCTGTAACAAGAAAATTAGATGCAATATTCTATTGTAACGACAGAAGACAAAGGTCAGGCAATAGATCATTTGTTGAGGAAATCAACAGATATTTATAGATACGTGTGTACATTACTATTCAGAACAACACATTTAAGCGAACAATAAATAGCGTTTTCAATTAGATCTCATCAGGCTTAACTCTAATATACATAAGTTTACAAATAAAAATTCAAATAATGATAATAATAATAATTTACTTTATTCCGAAAACGGTACTTGTGATACAGGATGGAATTCTTAGCATTAATCACAGTATTGTTGCATCTAATTTCCTCAAATTATAAATAAAAATTAATCACACAGAAGATTTTCCACATTTACAATAGGGGTAATGTCAAAAACACGCAGCATATAAAATGGAAATAATAAATGATAACAGCTAAGGTAACAACAATAATAATACAAGTGAGAATTCCCGTGGGCTTGTTTCATACAGTATTGGCAATGTGGTACAGAGATCCTAATATGTTTAACAATTTTGAATATAATGTTCTCTTTACATGATATGGTGAGGGGAAAAACAAAGATTACAGCAGTCATGGCGATAAGTTGGTGTTTGCAATTATTGAGAGTAAAACAAACAAAGAAGCAACAGGACCATAAATATAATAGAAATAATAAAAGTAAAACTTGAAGGTATATAAGGATGGATGGAGGAAATTGTCAAGTGCCTATCGACAACGACGTTAACTATGTGGTCCACTGGGACACCACTCACCCTACTGACAGTCTTCAGCATTCTACGAATTGTGACATAGACCTTTTTAAGCAATCCAGGGGAAAGAATAAGGGTGAACAATAAAGAAGAATAGGTAGGATGCAAGAGTTTATGAACTGTACGAGAAGGGGTTGGTTGAGTTATACCCGAGTGTCTTAACTTCTTAATACAAAATATCAGGCGGAATATTTTACTGGAGATCGCTAAGACATGGGAAGTCCAGGAGAGATCAGAAGAGAGAATAGGTTCAAGATACTTAATTTCTGAATTAATTCCTATATCATTGTCGTCAATTTTACAACTGTCATGAGAATCGACGACTTCTTTTAACTGTCTTTTACATCTTAAGTTGAAATTAACAGTTTGACATTTAGAAGGATTCAGTTTAAGACCGTCAGACTCAGACCATTTGCTGACTCCTGATAGAAAGCTATTTATTTTAGTACAATCTAGCTGGGAGTTAACAGCCATTGAAACCGTTAAATCATCAGCGTACTTCACAAAGTTTATTTGATCAGAGTGAGGCAAGTCATGCAAGAAGAAAGAAAAAAGAAAAGGACAAAGGAGAGCGCCTTGAGGGACACCAGCTTCAGTAGGCAATGAAGTGGATGACTTCCCTTTACATACGGTATACTGCTTTCTTTCTGAGAAATAGGAATGTAACCAGTTAACAGCCCAACATTCTGTTTGACTAGCAGCAAGTTTATTTAATAATATGTCCCTAGGGACAGAGTTAAAAGCAGAAGTGTAAACCAATCATGGTGTTTTGTCTATCGGATAATACGATGGTGCATATAAATATGGTAATAATAATGGTTTTATCAAAAATAAGGAGATGGGCTATCCGAGTAGTTTCATAAAGAAACATATGAAAACACCAGAGAGCAAACCTGAAACTCTGACTGCACGTAAAAAGCCTCTATTTATTAAGTTACAATTTAATGGTGACTTGTCAAGTGAGATGTTTGTTCCAAAGACTTTTCAGGAGTATATGAAGAAGATTTTATTCAGCATACCTATGTTTGTCATTCTCTAGCTGACGAATGATTGGGACGCAAACGAAGGATAAGGTAGATAGTTTTCCCACATCAGTGTGCATCTATCATTTCAACTGCACCTGCAGTGACAGTTACATTGGGCGTACTATTAGACAGGTTAGCCAACGTGTTAGTGAACATCTCCCATCGCGGTGGTTTGGCAAGGGACAGACGAAAACAATCCGTAGCTCAATTTTATCATATTTAATTGATAGTGGTCATGTAGTGGAGAAAACGAAAGCTTTTAATGTAATTCATCGTATCCCACCGAATCTTTCCCATAGACTTCATATTCGTGTACTGCACACAGCTGAGGCGATAGGCATTCGAACAACTATTAAGCTTAACCTATGCATTTAAAATAAGTTCGTACAGCTATTATCCCTCCCTTAGCCTATTAAGACATAACCAACTAATGACTTCTCCACCACCCCTTGTTTATGTTTTCGACCCCTTTCTTATCATCCTTTAGTCTTATCACATCTTTATTAAAAATGTGTCTCATTTACCTCCCTTACAATCTAGCATTACTTAATCGGTTCATTTGTTTTTACTAGCCTTTATCGACTACTTCCACCTGTTGTTTGTTTAATCATGCTATTTTTTCATTATTCGTGTTATCACAGATTGCCTCACTTTTTCATCCTTATTATTGATAAAACCATTATTATTATTATTACTATTATCATTACTACTATCATGACTAATTGCACAATTTATATTCACCATCTTATTATCCTATAGACAAAACACCATGATTGGTTTATATTTGAATTTTTATTTGCAAACTTATACACATTAGAGTTAAGCCCGATGAGATCTATTCGAAAACAATATTGTTCGCTTAAATGTGTTGTTCTAAATTTTACTATGGGAATATTTAATGTACATTACTATTGGTTATTATTAGCAGAGAAGCGACGTCTTCTGATTGGTCGCTTTCCTGCTGAAGGTTATCCTGTCATCTCTTTGTGGCCGTTTCTTTGAAGGTCAGACCATATACCTGCTAATCGTATCCGCCCATGCAAAGTCTACTATGATTGGTTGTTCAGTTAGTCTTTGTTTTTGCTCTTTTTCTCATGACCAAGATTTGGGACGTAAACCTTGGTGTAAATTGCTGTCTACCAATTTTTGCTAGCAGACAGCTCTCACTACAACATTACATGCTGAAAATTTCATATCTATAGCAAAAATACTGTTTGGAATAAAGTTATTATTATCATTCTTCTCAGTCTTCAATGCCTTTTGAATGACACATTCCACCACAGTAGAGAATAGAATCACTGGCAGTGGACAGCCTTGTCTTATTCCTGTCTTCACTTCAAACTCTTCTCTAAGCTCTCCGATGTGAATTCTTTACATATTAATGAATATGTTTTTCAATAAGTTAATAATTCCTATTTTAGCATTGAAGAGACTCTCTTCAATAACGAATTTATTATCAAGCTGTACAATCGTATATATATGGGGTATTTTAAGAAATTATACCCGGTGAGGGAATTAAGGTCAATGGTGTGAATACATGAAATAATAATAGTAATAATAGTATGAAATGCAATTAAAATATTTGTAATTATAATCATGGTTTAATGTCAAGTGGCAAAATAATTAATGTTATATATAGAATAATACATAAGGTGTATAGATGTTGAAAAGGGGAGCATAGTTACAGGATTAGTTGGCGAATACAAAGTGTTACATAACATGGTGTGAAATTTGATAAGACAGAATTTAATATTGTGAAAATAAAAATGAAAAATATAAAAATTAATAATTTTGGGTTTGAAATGACAAGTGGGTCAAGTGGAAAATATTCAGAGTGAGAATAGTAATAATAATAATAGTCGTAGTAATAAGGGAAAAGTACATAGAATAACTAAATAAACAAAATAAATAAATATCTATCCCTCTACAGCCAAGGCAGAAAGAAGTAGGGATTGTACATACTTCTTTTGTATACAAAGGTCTGGCTTAAAGTCATGAATTGCCAAGGCCTCAGATGTCTTTAGAAGTCTGTAACGAATAAAACGCGGCCAGATAGTTAGCACGTATTCTATATATGATCTTGAAATTATGGTCAGGATTAACCGAGTGACAGGAGTCGATCAGGTGTTCCAGAATAGAGCTTCGCATACACTTCCTTTCTCCCTTGTAAAACCATGCAGCTGGAATATGTTCTCGTATCCATGTTTTTTTTTACTAAACCTGTTACTTTTATTGTCTATAGGAAACAAATGATTGGTACAGACGGTATTGATGCTATCATCCAACTACTTAAACAAACTTCAAAAAGATTAGCCACAATTGAATCTGTTCAATATCGTTTGTTAACTCAATCAACGCCTATTCAGGCAACATCATCTTTGTCGTCATCTCTGCCATCAATGCATTCAATTATATTATATCGTGAACCTTTGTTTAAATTAGCTTACGCTTTGACTGAAGCTGTATGGTCTTGTATAATCGGTTCAAATGATTGTGAAGATTGTTTCCTGATGAAAAATGGTGCAACATATCTACTCAATTTATTAGAGGTAAGGCGAAATAATTAAATCATTTAGAATATTTCAAAACAGTAAACATACTAATTAATTAGTATACGATTAATGGATGATGGCTAGCAGTGGAATCCAGGATAACGCGCATTTCGTCCTATTTAGGACTCGTCAACTGGATGTACCTGCATTTCTCAGTGAGTGATGATGTTCCCACTGAGGCTCGAACCCGGTGCCCATAGTTTCAAACGCCAAAGCGTTATCCACTAGACCACTTGGGCCACGAGAGCCACCTCTTGTGCAACGGGTCATATTAATTATTGAATTGAATTTTTGATTTTTCCCGTCGATTGATTGGACCGAAGTGCTAGGTCTCAGGTTGATATGTCGGCTTCTTGTGCAGATGCTTCGACGATGTCTGGGCATTTAATTAGTATACGATTGGTGGATGGTGGCTGCACAAGAAGCCGACATGTCAACTTGAGACCGAGCACTTCGGTTCAATCAGTCGACGGGAAAATCAAAAATTCAATTCAATACTAATTAATTAATTAATAATAGTATCTTTATTCTGGCCAGTATATATAAAATGTTGGGAATTTTTAGAGGAGTTTATCGTATGGTATTTTCATTTCGTACAATCAATATCTTCAAGTAAAGTAGTAATTGACAGTATATCCTATGTGTGTGACACAATAGTCTCTCAGCTGATGAAGCACAAACCACATTCCATTATGATATGTATGTCTGCTTTGTCTCCTGCTATAAGAATAAAACTTGTGCACTGTGGTAGAGTATAATTCCATTATGGGTAAATTTTGTTTTGATAAAGTCTCACAGTGGTGTTATGCAGCAATGTTTACTGATGACGTTCCGAGCACAATTTATTATTGCTCATAATCATATCAAGGTAATCACACGACTTCCTAAATTCATTTATACAGTTCCATTGTTTTTCTCTTGATTTTCACTTGATTTGATTGGTAATAGTATTTTCCATATTTCAGGTATGAGTGATGAGTCATTCTTATTGCATGTGTTGTTGGGTGTAGACTCGATGAACAAGGATTCAGTAATCAACCTCTCTCTCCACCTATCTAGATTACATTTTAGAATTTTAACCCTCTCCCACCCTATTGTGTGGTTGTGTGTTAATGCATGTAGTGCAATTGCTGAGCATTTTTCTAAATTACTTATATTCGTGAGGTCAACCCTTCTCTTGCCTTAACTAAATTATTGTGTTCCAACAATCCGATTACCCCTGACCCACTAGATTGACCTATTCAGTTGACTTAACTCACAGTTATTGCAGGGTATTTTGTAAATTATATTATGTTGTCTAATTTGGTCAACAGGGTCCTTTAACATAAAGAGCTTGTCCCGCTTGAGTGAGTTTGTAGGTTTAAATGCCACCCTGACTGCTGCTTTATTGAGAATCCTACGGAGGGAGGGTTTCAGATGTCCCCTCCTTATATGGTATAACTGTAGATGACTTATATTTTATCTTATTTATGTTATTATTAGTAGTTTCACAATTATTTTTATTGTGAAACTATTAATAATAACATAAAATTAGCTAAGGCAAGAGAAGGGTTGACCTCACGAATATAAGTAATTTAGAAAAATGCTCAGCAATTGCACTTCACGCATTAACACACAACCGCACTATAGAGTGGGTGGGAAAGGGTCAAAATTCTAAGATGTTAATATAGGTAGGTGGCGAGAGATATTGATTATCGAATCCTTGTTCATTAAGTCTACACCCAACACAACACGTGCAATAGGAATGATTCATCACTCACACGGGAAATGTAAATGGAAAGTACTACTATCAATCAAATCAAGTAAAAAAAAATGATGGAACTATATAAATGAAGTTAGTAAGTCGTGTGAGTACCTTGATATTTGTCTCCTGCCTTCAAGTAATCTACGATATCTGTCTGTCTCTGTCTGGATTCAACATCGAACTTGGCACCGAAGTGCAACAGTTCGAGTTGCCACGTTCCAAATAGCACACAGAGGTAGACAAGAAGATGAGTGAAGAGAATCAATAGAGTTTGACAAGTATAAGAGTGAAACAGAATGGGTAATGGTAGAAACGATATCTAGTTGAAAGTCAGTTGTAAGATGTTCAGAAGTACATTTTGAGACCGAAGGACATAACTGAAGAACAGTTATCTCATGCATTGTGTCATTTCGCCACCAACAATCAGGCTATTCCTCAAGTTTAGTAGGAACTTGTGAATCAGAAGCATTACAGGTCATATCATAATCGATTAAAAGAAACCGAACGAGAGAAATATATATGCAATAATGAGAGATGGAAGTTTTTGGTAGCCTAAGTTTCGAACAGGCCTCTGTAAAATAGGTAGGTGTATATGGATTTTATCACGCATGAACTTACTCTAGGTCAATGATGAAATAACTTGTTCTGATTGGTTATATGAGGTCGACAAAAAACAACTACATAATTCTGATGTAAAACATAGTTAGGGGTACTATATAGATATTCTGTCCTATTTTTAGGCCCTTAAGAACCTACGCAATACCAAACCCAGTTACTTAAGATGATGAGAAGCGCCCATCTACCATTCAGTAGTTACTGTTACTAATTCCTACATAACGGAGAGGAAGCTAGAGAATATTCAAATACAAAAAGATAGAGAAGTGATTTGTTTCGAAGTAACTAGATTGTACACTAGTATCCCAGTTAATACAGCTCTGAAAGCAGTTCTCAGACTGTGGGGGGTAAGAAGACATGAGTACGTTGTGCCGATAAGAAGATTCCAGAAGTTCTGGATGTCGCCACGGATGTTTATATTTAATGTCATTCACACAAACTTGAAGGCTTACAGGTGTAAACCAACAAATTAGCTGATTAAGCAGCAGGTGGACATAGAGAAGACGGAGGTGATGGAAATAACCAACCAACAACAGCGACAACAACAACAACAACCAGCACCAATCACTATCAACAGGAAAGATTTAACAAAGGTCATCTCTTTCAATTATCTGGCTAGTAAGCATTGTTTCAACTACAGGCAATCAGAACGTATGAAAGTGTCAAAGCTGTCCAGAATTGGAAGGGCAAGATAAGTATTTATTCATCAACCTGAAATAAATTTGAACATCTTCTGTACTCAGGATAAACAGCATGATATCGATTTCCAACACCTATCATGAGTCAGTCAGTTCTTTTATATGGGTCATAAACTTGGCTCACGTATCCACGAAAATAATTTGCCACAAGTTACAGACTGGCTTCATACTGCAGATCAAATGGCCAACTGACCGGAAGGAGATATAACACCAAGAAACTCTGGCTGCCAACAAACCAAGGAAGACCTGATTGCTCAACAAATATGTCGGGGAAGATGGAGGAGGCCGTCGAATAACGTCGCTAGCAATACAACTGCTCGAGTGGGAAGCGACGAGTGAGTCGTTCCGTTGAAGGTGACGTGGAAGAGATAGGAGATAACAAGCAATCGCGACGCTAGCCAGTTGAGGAGGACAGCAGAGAATAGAACAACATGGAGATGTGTTTGTTCAAGCCCCATGTTTCATTCGAAACCCAATAGGAGTCGTAATAATAATAATAATGGAGGCACTTAAGAATGAAGTGGACACTGATCATGTATTCAGAAATAGGACTTAATTCTCAGCTGGTGAAATACTATTATGGGTTTAGTTGTGTCTGACCTCCACTGTATTCAAATTTCAAAATAAAGTATACAAACTAAAATGGAGCGGTAATAGGATCATCAATAGACCTCCTCTGTGTTGGATACATCTATGGATTTTTGGATATATAAAGCTCTTGGAAAGTTTAATCCAGCTCCGAGGCTGTGGCAGAGATATGTGGATGACTCATTCACTGTGTTGAAGTCTGACACACATATATATAGACTTAGTAGTAGACAGAATTCAATTCGCTTTTGAGTTAGAAAATGAAAAGATGAGTTAGCTATGCCAGACTGTAAAATCAAATGAAAAAAGGACAGTGGGGGTTGATACTATCATCTAAAGAAAAACAGAAACGACATATTCTAATAAATACCTAGACGTTAAATCATCCCATCCAGAATCAGCAAAGGTATTGTTTAGATAAATGTCTATGTAGTCGGGTCAGGAGACTTAAATATTGAAACCAAACATATAAGAGAATCACTATTAATATTCCCTTGGGTTCCGAGTGGAAAATAGGGCTTCAACAACATATCTCCAATTTATTCTCTTTCCCACCATCCTTTTCAGCTGACTGCCGCCACGATTGCCCATAATCTCTCATCTCCTCCTCACACGCACTCCTCCAGATCACCCTCTCACTGAAGACCCACTCATCGCTTTCCATTGGGACTGCACTCGGGCGATGGGCTACATTGCGCGCGATGTCATTCAACAGCCTCCTCAGTGACGTATGCCCAATCCATCTCAACTTTCTCCTACATATTTGTTGAGCAATCGCTGACCATATGATCTTCATTATGGAGTCAGGGAATGCGGTTGGTTGATGAAAGTCTATAGCCTGTTGGAGTTCCTTTTCGTGACTCGTATAGAACAACTGACTTCACATTTGTGTTAAAAGTCCGAATAATTACTAGCGAATGGTTATTCATCACATTTTATCGAAAAATGCGTGAAGACCCATAATCGGAATACAAGTAGTAGTAGTAGTAGTATAAAGTAATGAAAATAATATAAATAATGAGATATTTAAAGCCTCAATAATGCTGTCATGTAAAGAAGGAACATCAGATGCCCTATTATTGTTATTCCATTGGGTTCCTAGTGGAACATAGGGCTTCAACTGCACGTCTCCACTTGCCACTTCTGTCATGCTTCTGCTGAACTTTTCACCTACATCCACCATGTTAGTCCATACTGTTTCAACTCCTCCTCTTCACACGATCTCCTCCATGTCATCCTTATACCGACGTCCCACTCACCGCTTCCCTTTCGGCCTGGTTCCACTCGAGCAATGGTCTGACGCGCGCGATGTCACCCAGCGGTGGCCTTCTCAGCGAGTGTCCAATCTATCTCCACTTTCTCCTGCATATTTGTGAGGCGACTGCTTCTTGTTTTGTTTCTTCCCATAGTTTCTTGTTGGTGATGTTTTCCGGCCCAGCCATCTGATATTCAGTATAGAGCGAAGATGGTTGTTGATAAAGGTGAGATCTGCAACAGGCTATTGGAAATATTCTTTGTGACCCGCCAGCCAAGTTTCTGATCCGTATAGAAGAACTGACTGACTTGACGTGTTTGTATTGAAAATCCGACTGAATTTTGTTGTTGATGGTGGCTGAGTGACGAAGATTTCCAGATTGGTTTCAGGTTGATGATGAATGTGTTTCTCGCCTTCCCGATTCTCGCTCGATTTGACATCCTCGTCCGTTCCACTGCCTGTAGTTGAGACAATGCTCCCTAGATGATAAGTGAATGAAGTAACCTCTTTCAAATCCCTCCCGTTGATGGTGATTGATGCTGGATGTTGCTGCTGTTGTTGTTGGTTGGTTGGTTATTTTCATAACCTCCGTCTTGTCTATGTTCACCTGGAGTCCTGTCTTCGCCAGCTGCTTCTTCGACCAGTTTGTCGGTTTTCGCTTGTAAGTCTTCGATTTTGTGTGACATCAAACATAAATCATCCACGAGCGAAATCCAGGTCTTCTAGGTTCTTCACATCGTCGGTCCAGGATATCCCTGTCTTCTCGTTTCCCACTCACTGTCTGACGCATAATCCAGTCAGTCCACCACAATTAGGAATATCATTGGTGATAATAAGCAGCACCCTTGTCTGACTCCTGTGTTTACTCCAAACGCCTCGCTGAGTTTTCCGTTGTGGATCACTTGACATGTGCCGTTGTCGTACAGCTGTTGAATAAGGTTGATGAATATTTGGGGTACGCCGTAGTACTCGAGTAATTTCCAAATTACTTCACGGTCAACGCTGTCGAAGGCCTTCTCAAAGTCTATAAAGTTGAGGTAGAGGTTTGATTGCCATTCCATGCTTTGTTCTGTGATGATGATGCGTAGAGTTGCAATTTGGTCAGTACATGATTTGCCTTTCCTGAATCCAGCTTGTTCTGGTCGGAGTTCTGTATCCAGTGCGTCCTTTAATCTCTCCAGGATGATGCGACTCAGGATTTTACTTGGCGTCGACAGGAGCATGATTCCTCGCCAGTTCTTGCAGAGGGGCCTAAGTCTCCCTTCTTTGGTAGTTTCACGAGGTAACCTTTCTTCCCTCCTTCCAGACCTTTTGCAATAATGGAGTCAGCATGTCTGCTGTAGTCTCTGGGTCCGCTTTCAGTGCTTCAGGGGGTATTCCATCTGGTCCAGCTGCTTTTCCAGCTTTCAGAAGCTTGATTGCATTCAAGACTTCAGCTCTCGTTGGAGGATTGGTGTCAACTTGCAGTTGTGTCGCGCTGTTGTTGGTATTTCTGGACGGGTTGCAGGTGGTGGTCGGTTCAAGAGTCCTTTGAAGTGATCCGCCCATTGTTTAATCTGTTTTCTTCCTTGGTAATTGGGTTCCCTTGGCTGTCTTTTATAGGTTTCGCTTGTGTTGATTCTCTTCCCGGATAGAGATTTGGTTATCTGATATAATGTCCTCAGGTCCCTTTTGCCTGCTGCCTTCTCAGCTTCAGTGGCCAGGTTGTCGTAGAATCGTCTTTTGTCCTTCCTAGCACTCTTCTTCACTTCTTTGTCCAGTGCTGTGTAAGTTGAGCTCAGCGTCTCCTTCTCTTGTCCGTCCTTGCATTGAATCATTTTCTCTTTCACCATTCTCCTCTCTTCTATTAATTTCCAAGTGTCCGTTGAGAGCCATTCCTTGTCTTGTCTCTTCTTTCTTCCTAGAACCGTTGAACACGTTTCGTTGAGAATCGCCTTCAGAGACTTCCAATGTTCTTCCACGCATGATTCTTCAGTGATGTCGCGTAGTGTTTCCTGCTTTGCTCTGACAGTTGCAGTGAAGGTGTCTTTTGTGGTTGTGTCCTTCAGTTTGAGTGTTGAACTTGCATTGTGGCCTATCCCCAGCTATCCTCGAGGCTTTTAGTTTCACCTTGAAAGTCCCTTGTACTAGATAGTGGTCTGAACCCACATCTGCTCCTCTCCTTGACCTTGTGTCCAGTAGGCTCCGTCTCCACTTTCTTGAAATTGAGATGAAGTCTATTTGGTTCTTGGTGTTTCCATCTGGTGAAATCCATGTCGTCTTGTGTATATCCTTGTGTTTGAACACACTGCCACCAATCACCAAATCATTGAAGGCGCAGAAGTCTGAGAAGAGTTCACCATTGTCGTTCATTTCACCGAGGGCCACTCGACCCATGGTGAGTTCTCTTCCTGTGTTGTCTCCTCCCAGCTTCGCATTCATGTCGCCCATCAGGATTTTGATATCGCCATTTGGGACGTTGTCCATTGCTGTTTGTAGTTGTCTGTAGAACGCCTCCTTCTTCTCTTGTTCTGAGACGTTTGTAGGCGCATAGCATTGAATGACTGTAACTTTCCTTCCTTTTGAGTTGAACCTGGCTGTCATTATCCTGGAGGAGATTGGTTCCCACTGCATGAGAGCTTTGGCTGCTGTTGGTGACATCATGATGGCCACTCCCTCGGTGTGCTCGTGGTTGTCCTCTGGGTGGCCGGAATAGATTATTGTCTCCCCAGTTGGCACCTTCCACACCCGTTCCATCTGCTTTCGCAGATTCCCAACACTTCTATTCTGTACCTTCTCATTTCAGCGGCTATCTGGGCAGCCTTTCCAGTTTCGTACATTGTACGAACATTCCAGGTACCCATCCTTACTTTTGCTTTCATCGAAAGAAGGCACATCGGCTGACTGGCTTCCCGAAGGCTTTCACCAGCCTGCATCATTTCACTTCCCCGATTCTAGCGAAAAATAAGGTTACTGTTTATATTTTTAGAATTTTTAATATATTGGTGTATTGAAGTTTCTGTAGCGGTTTGGTTGAGTTTTAGAGGTGGAGTTGCTAGCACCACACCCCAACCCTCCCTCTTTATTCTGGCTCGGGACCGGCTAGAAAACTAGCAAGCTAGCAGTCTAGGCGAGGCTAGAAAACTAGCGAGCTAGTAATCCAGGCGAGGTTAGATGCTCTATGTAGGATTCTTAATAAAACTGTATTCAAGTAGCATTTAGGTCAACCAGCCCACCCAGAAACAAACTTTGTTGGCTTAAGAAGTCAATAGATCCAATTTGAGAAAAATAGTATAGAATTTATTTGCTGTGAAGTCATTAACATACATCAAGGCACATCTAGAATGATTGAACCTGCTAATCTAAATAATCTAGAAAAAAGCTCATCCATTGCAGTATATCTGTTTTCATCTATCCACATACAGTTGAGTGAGATGGGATAAAAATCTTAAAAATTAATATGATTACGCGGTGAGAGGTAGAGAGAGAGAGAGAGAGAGGTTAATCATCAAATCAACACCGAATATGTACAACCTAAATGAAGCGACGCCTATACCGGATATACAATGAGAGAATAAGACTGTATTAAACAAGTTGTGAAGTTGTGTGGATAGATTGTTTTATGATTATGAGCAATAAATTATGATGGAAACGTTATTTAGTTATTAGCACTCTATCACTGAGTGTGATATATCAAATAAACTCATTTAATATGTAGTAATTATATTTCACCACAGCACCAAAATTCTAATTAGATTACTTACCATTTTTAGTGTGTTTAGAGCATGGAACTGATAGTCACACACACACAACCTTCCAGGCTTAGCGAGGTTTGAAAGGGCACCACCGGTCAAGAATGAAACTAGGATCACGTGTATAGTTTGTTAACATTCCATTGATGAACCACCGACTTTGCATTACCTTTTATTATATAAATTTGAAGGAAGTTAGAACACACACACACACCTTTGGATCAGAATAACATTGATCTCAAAGTAGGTTTCTTCTGGTCTTTATGAAATCTCCCCTGAAACCAAAGAAACTTCAGCAGTGTACTTTAGTTACTGACTAAGGTAAACCTTGACAGTTCGCGTCCACTAATCCAGAAGCGAAAACGTACTAACTAGTGGTATTATGTTGCAGTGGTATTAAAAGAAGTTAGATTGCATGAGTCATTGGACTGTAGCCCTAACGGTTAACTGATCAACCGTCTGGCCTCATAACCGCAAAGGCCCTGGGTTCGATACCTAATGGATTATTGCTTAGTTGCTCCTGAAGACTGCCAAATTACGATAAAACTGCTATCCAGTACTTCAATAAAAACCAAAATGCACCAGCATACTTTTCATTTCAATTTGGAAGATATTCATCACTAAGAACCTCTCACTGCTCTACGGTATATTCTCTTTTGGGTAGTCAGTTTAAAAAGCACCCTAGTAACTATCTAATATCTATCTAGATATCTTTGTTTGTTACAAGTGTTGATCTTCAAATGAGTAAACTCTGAATAACCTGACGGCTTGACAGTAGTTCACTGCATGTTAGTGGTTAGCCTAAGACTAGATTTATAAAACTTCCACTGACCATTTGTGGCTGGTGTAGTTGAAGGACTTAGACAGGATAAGTATATGTGTGAAGGTAGTTGCATAGCGGTTAGTACGCTCGCCGACCATGTACATGGTCCGAGGTTCGATCCCCGGTCGACGCACTCCTTTACCTCGCTAAGCCAGAAATAATCCTGGTATAGAGGAAAGGTTGGACATGAGGCTGGCTAGCAACCCCATCCTGTAAAAATAGTCACCACTGCTATAGAAACTTCAAGCCACTAGCTTGAAGCCCCCTATGTTCCACCGGGGGAACGTGAAGGAGAAAAAACATCAATCAACTGAATAACTATGTGTTTCTTGTCTACGAAACTCGATTTCTAGTGGGATAATAGGTCCGTACTGTCTACAGTTCTCTAACGGAAATCAGACAGATGTTCAAGGCCTTTGGATATCCGACTTCACTTTAATTGATATGGATTTATGTTATTTTGGTCTAATTTACTTTCTTTCTGTTCCTTTTCAGTGGTATCCAACTGAAGCAGTCAACTATTTATTGGGTTGTTTAGTCGATTTAACTGAGAATTCTAAATGTCTACCATATTTATCCAGTTGGTCTGGTATTCGTCCTTTAAATGAGACCATTGATGATAATACCAACGATGAAAGCCAAGTTCAACTTGATCATTTCCATACTCTGAGTCATACAGATACCAATCCATTGAAACAACAAATGAGTCATCTGGAACTGACTACTTCACTGTTAACCAAATCACCTGATCTAGTTGTATCAACTAAACTACACAAGATAATCACTACTACGACCAGTAGATCAACGGTGCATGATACTAATACAAATACCAATGACATTAATAATACTAATGATGACCAAACGCCTTTAAGTGAGAATTATGAAGAAGTTTCAAGTCAAATTTGTAAACAAGATACAGTAAATCTCATAGACCCAGATGAATCGATCAGTGTATGGTTGAATGGACCAAGTTTACCTCAGCTACTCTGTTATCTATGGAGATGGGAAGAAAAGAGGAGGATAAGACAAATGAAAGAAAAAAGTATTAAAGTTGGTAAGTCAGAACAGAAGGAAACGTTTATTTATGTTGTCATGTTAATCAATAACAAGCTACCACAGACTTTCGTCAGTAGCTCCCTTCGGAGAATCGATAGTGAATATCAGATGGTTGACCGGCCGGAATGGATAAGCAACAAGGATGTCTGGCGAGAAAATAACCAAGAACTTGTCTGTCAATAAATACGCAGAAGCAAATGGAGATGGATTAGACCTCTGAGTGACACCACATGCTATCCAGACCCTTGAGTAGGAAATAACGAACTGGACGTCAGTCAGACGATGACATGGAAGAGATCGTGCGTAGAACCGTCATGTGGCTAGCAAAAGGGGCCACAGAGCACAAGGTGGAGATGATGTGTGCTACAGAAGCTCTATATTCAACATGGAACTCAAGGGAATGATAAAAATAGTAATAATAATAATAATAACGAAATCATTACTTGATTAATCGGACTAACAGAATTATCTCAACCCTGTAAATCAAATTCACAGTGTGCAAATTATTATGATCTGAATGATTACGGTTTCCAGAGGAATCTTTGCTGAAAGTTCACCTCCTCGAACTGTGTAAATTTCAAATTAGCTTGTTGTTATGTACTGGTCGAGATTTTAATAGTCCTGACGCAAGAAAAACGGAAATCAGAAGACCACTAGGTTTGCGATGATACTTCTATTTTCCAAAACACCAGGAGAATCGATATCTCCCACAAAAGTGTGAGAGCAAAAAATAAGAATGTTCGAACAAGTGTGTGAGCGAATATTCAAAATGAACAAATCAATAGACAGTCTTAACATGATTGGCTAATTATAATGGAATATCGATCCATATATACGTAGCAAAATATATCAGACTGTCAAACAAACACACATATTATATGGATATATATCACTTGTCAATTGCGAATTTGATTTATGGAATTACAAGTTCACCCAAGTAGCTTAAAAGAAATTGGGTGGTTTAGTCTGATTCGGCTCTTTGAACTGAGTCAAGCCCGGAAACAGGCATAAAATGGACTCACACAAAAAACTTGGAGGATCTGGACTTCGCCGATGGTATATGTCTGATTTTCCACAAACTGGAAGATATGCAAGTGAAAAGAAACAAGTTGGCAGAAGAAGCATCCAGGGAAGATAGGACTTCAGGTGAACATAGATAAAACAGAGGTGATGAAGATTCCTGGCCAATAGCAAAAGCAACGACAACAGCAGAAAGCAATCAGGATAAACGGGAGGAACCTGAAAGAAACAACCTCGTTACCTACCTGGGAAGCATCGTTTCAATTACAGGCGGAACTGACGAGGATGTCAAAGCAAGAATCGGAAAAGCAAGACAAGCTTTCATTACTCTCAAGTCTGTGTGAAGGTGAGCAGCATTCAGCATCAGAAATAAGATCCAGATTTTCAACTCCAATGTGAAGTCAGTGCTACTATACGATTGGATCAGAGACATGACGGGTCATAAAGGGCATCTCAAACAAACTACAGACCTTCATCAACAGTTTTCTTCGCTCATTACTACTCAAGGTCAGATGGCCGGTCAGAAAAGATCAGCAACAGGGATCTCTGGTAATGAACGAACCAACCCAGCAGGAACCGACTGTGAAACAAATAGACAGGAAGAAATGGAGATGGATTGGTGGCCATGCGCTGAGGAAACCATCAAGTGATATCACTAGACAAGCCATCACTCGAGTGAAACCCGAAAGGGAAGCGGCGAGTTGGTCGTTAGTGCAAGGGTGACTTGGAGGAGGTTATGTGTAGAGGAGATGAAAGCATGTAGGTGACAGACGTGGATCCGGGTGAAAACGCTGGCAGAAAACCGAACGCCGGGTACACGGCTATGATGAGCTCAACCCCAAACGGGTGAAATTGCCGTCCGGGGTGTTTGGACCACTTCAGTCTGGCTGGCTAGGGGAGAACTACTGACTAATGTCACACCTAGAACCACTCAGTTCTAGTGATTTGTAATTGTTTATTTGGGCTTAAGCAAGTCACTGATAACCTTTTTGATTGTAGAGGTGAGGTAATGAACTCCAAAGAAGTAGGATAATGATAGAAAGGTAGTTTGCAATAAGCAGACCGGATGTATAATTCAATTTAGAATAATAGAGGAGATATGCGGCTTATTTGGATGTCTTCGGTGTTGTTTGTATACTCTGAGCTGGACGATTTCAGTTACGAAGTCTTCCTTTTTTTTGACAGTATCACAGGTGAACTGACACTGAATTAAGTGTTTCTAAGATAATTTTAAAACGTTATTTAGGCTAGCCGGTTTATAATGATTTGATTGATGTCAAAGTTAAATTGTATCACAAACCGATATCAATTAGAGAACCATTAAAAACCAGGGAAATACATTTCGGATAGTGTTATTAGAAGGTCGAGATTATCTAAAAAATGTGCTGTGATGTATTTGCGCAATACAATTCGAACAATTTATGTGAAAAAAATAAAGGGCAGTTAAAGTACACAAATAGACAAAAAAAGAATTTAAGAATAATAAGAACAGGTTGGAGGATTTCATAATGAGCTGGCTGACATCAATTAGAGAACCATTGGAAAACCAACAAGGTGTACTGGACAACTACTTCGTCCTAGCTTTGGACTCTTCAACAGTACGTACCCACTGCGAGGGTTTGAACTCAGGACCTTCTGAACCTTCTGAAGCTAGCGAGCTCGTAGATCATTAAGCTACTGGACAGCGGCCATGAATTCTAATTTCTGCCAATTCATGACATGAGGCTACCATTTCACAACGTCTTCTTCGATGAGTTACTGCCTCAACTACAACCTGTTATACCCTACCGGTCACGGCTTCCCACTAGAACCCCAGTTTAACTGCCTGAATAGGGCCAGTCCTAAACTAGGAAGAAACAGCTGTCCAGTCCTGCCTGTAGGCTTTCCAGTGGTTCTCTAAACTGATGTCAGTCAGCTCATAATGAAATCCTCCAACCAATCAAACAAAAATCCCGACAAAACCAATACTTGAAAAATAATTTGAAAAAATAACACAACTTTTGGTTATTCAATCAGGGAGGATTACGAAGGTAGGCTAAGAGTAATAATAAATGGTTTTTAAACACACCGGGTTGAGGAGCTTAAGTTTATGAACAAATATAGCCTCAGCGTATTTCAGTAAGCGCTCTTGACCGTTTTTATAGATGACTTTAAAAGTTGTGTTAACTTCAGTCTTATGGTTCATGTCGTATAGAAATTTGGCTATAGACGGAGTTGGTAGTCTGCCATCTGTATCTATTGATTTTCCAAAGTCCGTTTGTTTTTCTAACCATTTTGGAATATGCTCTCCAATCATCACAGGCAAAGCGCAGTTATACCTCCCTATGTATGTGTATCCACACACGAAAACTGGTAAACAGTGTGGGCTGTGACATAATCACCTGTGAACTTTTGAGGTTTGCAGTGGGGCATATATTTGGCTTTTTCGATAATTACAAGGCGGGCTGAGTAACGGGTCCTACAGATGACTGGGTTTAATCTCTGTTTCAAAATCCTACTATTTATTTACCCGTGGCATGGTAATTTGATGAAGACAGTTTTCTTAGGGGCGGAACAGATTGTAGGTTTTGAGCCTAGTTGACTTCTACACCTGTTTAAAAATTTTAAAGGATATTTGTTTTCAACAGGAGTATCCATCGGTACTCCATTTTCCCTCTCCGTAACATCAGCCGTACAAATATGCTGAATCCTTTTAAATAAGCATTTCACGAAGCCTTTCTTATACTGCAGTTGACAGCAGCTGAGAAAATTTTGATTACTGCCTTGTCCAAGTAGGCCTTCCGTAAATCAGTCGTCTTATTGAACCATTAATCTCTTCGACTCAGAAGCATGTTTAAAATGCAAGCCGGTTGCGACTTTCTTCCTCGCATGTTAGAATTTTATGATTATGTACAGAGTTAAGTCTATGTAATAGACGGCTGCACATCTTCATGACTATAAAATTGAGGTGGAATCCAAGACCTTCAGCCGATTGAATCGTATCCAATGAATGGTTAATTCCAACTTCTGTGAATCAGTTCACTTTAAAATGCCACAGTTAATAAGCGTTCATTACTGAAAAGCCTCATGCTAGAACGAAACTGTTGTGCACTGCTGAAAGCTCTTCGATGGTTCTCTAGCTGGTCTCGGTTTGTAATGAAATCTAACTTGACATCAATCAGCTGCCTACAAACCAACATTTGAAGGTTGGTATACTGTTGATTATTGTCTGACTATGGAATAAACATCATGGAGTTTTATTGAGAAATCGCGACTGATGCTGTCTGTCGTACCAGGTGTGAGGACAAATGCTAACTGATAGTGTTGGATAGGCGGATACCACCTTTGCAGTCAGTTTGCGAAAATGATCTGGAACTTCAAACTTTGATTCAGAGGCAGTCAGTACTTCCGTTCTGCAACGGTCGGCGTTCATGTTGTACCGTCTCTCTCTCTCTCTTCGCTATTCAGGTTGTTATGCGTCATAATAAGATCATCAGATGCGAGCACAGGAACTACTTTCCGAAAAGCTAATGAACGCTTTTCAGCCTCTTACTGTCAAATATCAACAATTCAAAGTGTATTGGGATGGTGAACCAACTAGAATGGTGGTCACACTGCAGACTTGACTGATAGAGTTCAGTCTACACAAAACAAGGGACCAGACACCTTACGCTAGTTACTGACTAGTGTCTAAATCAAAACTATCGAATACAGGACTAGAGGAGGCCAACCATGGTCTGGAATAGCTCACTGGTAACATCTGTGACTGAAGTACTCAGTGGGTGACGCTGGTTCGAATCTTAGAAGGGAAATAAGTTCCTTCAAGGTAGCAGATGCACCTTGCTGATTGGCGAGTACCAACTAGACAGAAACCTAGGTCGAAGCCTTTCTACCTGTCACTACAACGAAGTATACTTACCGGAAAGTTGTTGAAAACTATAGAAGGAATGTACAGTGTTAACCTATAAAACACAAGAATGAAAATAAAGATGTAGGCATCATAAGCTCTGGCATGTAACGTACCACATGGCCACTATTTTGTTCTGCGCTATGATCAAAAATACCAAAGAAGAGTCCTAGATACTTCACTGGATGCAGGCAGGAGCAGCTGACATTTCTCAGGGAGAAAGCAAAGTAGTTCCGTTTTATTAGCTGGTCAATACGAATCATTTTTCGTTTGTGAGAAGTAAAATCATGTGTTTGAGTATGATTTACTTTCCCACACACTTCGATCCGTGTAAAACTGTCATTAAGTGTGTTATTTTGCGGGGGGGGGTATTATTGGTGTTTCAGCTTTGATGATAGATTGATATCAGTTAAAAAAACCATCGGAAATCTTGGAGTACTACACAGTTGTTTCGTCCCAGCTTGGGACTCATTGGCAGTGTGCACCACGTTTCAAACCTGGGATTTTTCACTCACAAGGCGAGCTCCTAGATCATTCAGCCACTGGAACCTGGACCCCGCTGGTCATGAATTCTCCCAAGAACTCCAGCCAACTTCGTCCTGTGTCCAGTCAGTAGCAAATGTCACATCGATTTTTAGAGAATTAGTTCGTAGGGACTTGATTCGAGTCCTAAACTTTGAGGAAACAGGTGTTCAATGGTTCTCTAACTGAATATCGATCCATGATCAAATTTAGAACAAATCAAACCCCTACAATCAAACTCTTGAATATTATTGACGTGTTAAAAAATTAACCTTAATGTGTAAATCCCTTGCCCCTTTTCTTTATGTTACAACTTTTAGATGAAGAAACCAAAGTTGAAAATGAAAGGAGAAGTGACAACAACTGTCCATCGTCAAGATCAGGATCTAAATGTGATAGTCTCAGAATGAATATTTACGCTTTATTTTTAAGATTAGGATTTAATACTCATGAGAATCTTACACCAAAGGATCAGATTACCCTGGAAAAAATTGAATCATATCTTGATTTAAAGGTAAGATGGTTGAAAATTGAATACAATACTGATAACTTTTTTGCTGATTTCTGTGCTACTGAATAGAATTTTAAGTAGGCAGACGTTCTGCAAGTAAAATCTGTGACCACTTTTAGGATCATATAACAAGGATGGGACTAGCAATATTATTTCGTAAGAAATAACTCTGTCTCTACTGAGAATTCAAAGCACGGAAAAAGAAAACATACTCACCTTTGAAATCAAGAAAACTCCACAATTGGAGAGCGGATAGTGAAAACCAGGTGGAAGCCAATAGTTCTTTGTGTCTGTTTTTCTATGAAAGCAGAAGCGTGGGTGGGGATAATAAAATACCGATACCACGTTTGAGTCTGACTAGGCTGCTCAGGCTGTAGAAGAAATGAGGAGATATGATATAGAGGTGTTAGAAATCTGTGACAGAAGGTGGATTGGAAGTGGACTCTTTCGATTGCTAACTTGAGAGTTAATAATCTACTCAGCTTACAAAGGTGACAATCACGAGCACCCTGAGGGTGTTTCTGTTATGATGTCACAAACAGTATAAAGTACTATTCTGCAGTGGGGCTCAGTATCCTTCTAGTATTATGACAGTAACAGTGATGTCACCTGTCAGTGGATCAGGTGATCTAGAATATCCCCCATCTCACTTATAAGTTATAATTAACAGGCCTAGAAGTCTCACTGTAGGCAACATTTTGCAGACAGCTATCCAGGTCATCCACTGAAATGTACCAAGAGATGGTCAATAAAACCACATTGTGGTTATAAGAACACGGTATTTGTTAACTGTGCATTCTTTCAGAGTATTAAAGACTATATTCATTGTTTGTGTGAAGTCTTCTAAGTGCTGGTGACACTAATTTTTTTCCTTCTTGAGGAGCAATACAACACTGCTGAGTATACAGGCAACACTAGATAGGATTAAGTTAAATACATGAACAACAAGGTGAGAATGACTAATTTATGACAACCAATAAACCTCATGAGAAATATAGTATGTACTGAAATCTTATAAAGATTCAAAATTTGTGTCCTAAGAAGAGTTGTCATCCATATTCGCACTCATTCCATCTATAGATGATTACAATTCAACCCGTTTGAGTACAGGTTTCATCTGGAGATTTCAGTTACAAGTTGACCTAACGGTAGTGGTTTGTGGCTAGAAAAGAAGCTCTGATTTATGTCGAGCTGCGATAGACCAATAATAATAATAATAAATAATAATTTTTCCTTCACGTTCCCAGTGGAACATAGGGCTCCAAGCTAATAGCTTGAAGTTTCTGTAGCAGTGTTTAATTTTTACAGGACGGGGTTGCTAACCTCATGCCCAACCGTTCCTCTTTGCCAGCATTATTTCTGGCTCAGTGAGGTAAAGGAGTGCGCCGACCGGGGATCGAACCCCGGACCATGTGCATGGTCGGCGAGCGTCCTAACCGCTGTACCACCGACCAATACCTTTCAAATAATCATCTACTATCTGAATAGTTCGACTGAGACGATACTTCCAGGTTTGTGTTTAAAGTGAAGTGGATTTCTGACACTGTCTTTGGATAAAATATCCGTCTCTCCTGATGGCTGTGATAGTGAATGTTGTGACAGGAAGTACGACCTAGTGGACTAAGAGCGAATACTAACTTAGTTCTCTAGCTAATCTGGCCTAATTGCACGTAAACAACAACAACAACAAGAACACCGCCAGCATGCAAAAAGAAAAGGAAAAATCTGGACGTCGATAGAGAGCTCTTACTGTTTCAAACGATAGTCAAAATGCCAGACAGCAACTCTGTATATATACAGTTATAATGACCTTGAAAATGCGGCAATTCATCAGTCCATTAAAAGTATTAACAGCCAATAGGAATCCAGTAATCAAAACAGAAAAAAGGTCTCACACGGTGCGCGATAACTCCTTATATGGTTGTTTCAAGGTTTTAGGCTAAATTAGGCAAAACTAGGAGTATATAACAATGAATACCTAGATTGGGGGGATGTCCTTAACGTTGTGTATGCTTGGACTTTTTTGCAATGGAATAAGAATAGACAGAAGATCAATAGTTCAGCGAAAAGTCTCTTTTGGCGAATTCATTTCCATAGCTGTGCAATCGCGAATATTTATCGGCTATTTTGCATTTATGTGCACATTAAATTTGTCAAACGAAAATACAATTAGTAAGTTCACGTGAATTGGATGTTGATGTAAGAGGGTAGTAACAAAAGCGATGAGTTGCCACAAACGATTGTTAAAGAGGAGTTACGTAATAACAACATGAATATTTTGATGAAAGAGTTGTGCTCAGGGTGTAAATGGAAACAAAATAACACACGGAATTGCACAAGAGTTTTAAATAGCTAGAGAAATAAGCATGCAAGCAGAAGAAGCGCTTGAAGTAAGTAATTATTCAGATGAACAAAGCAGAGCTAATACAGACTGGATGATATTATTTTTGAAAAATGTGGGATCTTTCACCTTGAAATAATAGCGAAACTTTGGAGCTCCGATGGATGACGCTGATGCATCTCTGAGCGGGGTGATTTAATTGCGAAGTCTCCGATTTCCTTCTAAATAACATCACTTCAGTGCAAACTTCAATGACAAGTGAGCTTATTTGAATTCTCCTTGGGTGATATAATTGTATCTCTTAAAACTTTTGTCTTGTTTAAGTGTCAATATGCATATCAGTATTGATGGTTTTCATTGATTTGGAATTCGACTTTAATTGCCGCCTGGTTTATTCTTTATTAGTTGATAAATCTGATAGATACTGATGTGTCTGTTAGTGTCGCTAACTTGTCTGAGTACCAGGATTTTAGGGATTCTTTAGTATCTCTGAAATCTCTGGTGTTTGAAATTTCTAAATGTTTCCAATCAAATTGGTGTCCATAATTGCCTGCATGTTTTGACAAGAAAGAATGCGTATTATATACTTTGACAGCTAATTTCTGTTATTGGATTCTGAGTCGACGGGGAAGCTCAACTTGACCGGTTTAACGTCCACCACAGTCCATATAATTCATATGCAACAGCGACAATAACATCAGACAACAAACAGAATAAATGGGAGACATTTGAAAGAAGCAACCTCCTTTACCTGTCTACCTGGGGAGCAGAACTGATCAGGATATCAGAGCAAGAATCGGGAAAGCGAGACAAGCTTTCATTACTCTCAAGTTTATGTGGAGATCAACAGCACTACTCAGCATCAAAAATAAGATCCGGATTTTCAACTCCAATTTGAAGTCAGTGCTATTATACGAATCACAGACTTGGAGCCGCACCGCTTCACGAAGGGCACTTCGAACAAACTACAAACCTTCATCAACAGCTGTCTTCGCTCAATACTACTCAAGATCAGATGGCCGGCCAGAAACGGTAAGCAACAGGAAGGGATCTCCGGCAGTGAGCGAACCAACTCAGTAGGAACCAATTGTGCAACAAATATGCAGGAAGAAATGGAGGTGGATTGGTGGCCATACTCTGAGAAAACAAACTATCAACTGAGTGACATCACACGCCAGGCCATGGCTCGAGTGGAATTCGGCCGGAAGGCAAGCGGCGAGCTAGTTGATCGTTAGTGTGAGGGTGACATGGAGGAGGAGGAGGTGATGTGAAGAGAAGATGAAAGCATGTGGACAGACGTGGAGCCAGGTGAAAGCATTGGCGGAGAACCTAATGCACAATGGAGACGTACGGCTGAAGCCCTTTGTTCCTCTAGGAATTCAAGTAAACAATAACAATAATAACAATATTTTTTTGATGGGTATGTTCTTATCTTCTTTTGCTGTTGGGTCCTTAGCTCTGCACACTACTGAATGAAGTAATTATGTTGATTTGTGTGCAGTGTCTTTTCCGAACAGTTTTACTATTCTAGCTGATATTTCAGAAACATTTTACATGTCTGGTAAGATAAATTTCCCTGTAGTTTCATAGTGTGATGTTCCACTGGTAAGTTGATTCGAGTTTAGACAGTTTTTGATGAAATCGTAGGTATATCTGCTTTCCTTGGAGATATTTAAGAAATATTTTTCCTGTATTCTTCTGATGCCCTGGGTATTGCAGTTTGTTCTGGCTCCTTTGAATAGTGTTTGTACACAGTTTCTTTTGTATGCTACTGAATTTTTGCTGTTGTAATTGAGTATTTGTTCTGTGTGAGTTGATTTCCTGAGTTCGCTCGCTTAACTAAGACATCTAGTCGCGTCATCTCTCTGTCTGATGTATTTGTTTCAGTCTTGTTCTCTACAACTGTTCTCGCGAACACTGCTGTTAAAACCTGCTTCAAATTATCATCATTATTCCGTTAGGTTCCAAGTTGAACGTAGGGTTTCATGAGAACATCTCTATCTTATTATGTTTTCTGATATCGTCTTTAGTTCGCTCCACGATTGTCCATAAGCTTTCACATGCTCCTTCACGATCTCCCTCAGGTCAATCCCGAACCCACTACTGCTACCTTAACGTCATCCATTCCCGTTCCACCCGGAGGTCAGCTTGGCGCACGCTGTCACAAAACGCTGTCATCTGCGTGTGCCTGATCAATCTCTTTCTGCATATTTGCTCACCAGTAGGTTCTTAGGTAGTTTGTTCTCAGGTTTCTTTGTCGCTGATGCATTCTGGCCATCCGATCTTCAGTATGGAGCTGGTGAAGTCAGCCACTGATAAAAATTGGAGGCCTCTTGATGTAATTGTGATCTCTGAGCTGGATGGTTTATTTGCGAAGCTTCCATTGCCCCCCCAATAGTAGGCAACATCTTCAGCCCATACTTCAATTCGAGGAAGTGAGCTTTTACATTTCTCCATGAGTTTATTAATCATCTCTCCTGGTTGGTGACCTTGAAAGTGATTGGTTATTTTTGTGTATTTTCACACCCTCTAGGATAATTTTATTGGTACTGAATTTTTCCTTGACCTGGGCTTTGATCTTTTGTGTATGAGATTTCCTTCTTATCGACCGATAGATTTTGTCTTTGTCAAGAATGCCAGAGATCTTGTAAAAATCTGGTATTCTATTGAATCGGCAAATAATAGACACATTGACACAGACAGAAAATATCAATCGATAAGAAGAAAACCTCATCAACAAACTATCAAAGTTCTAGTCAAGGGGACAATCAGTACCAACACAAGCAGCCTAAATGGCGTGAAAAGATACGAAAACAAACAGTCACGTTCAAGGCCAGCAGGAGAGATGATTAATAAACCCATGGGGAAATGTGAAAGCTCACTTCATCGAATTGAAGTTTGCGCTGAAAATGTTGCCCAGTAGGAGAATGAAAGCTTCACAAGTATAAACCATCCAGCATAAGCCGTCATCCACCTAAGTCACAACTCTCCTTCATTATATCTAAATATGAAGCTTGTTCGAAATGCTTTTTGTGACATGCCAAGTCTATGAACCATGTAGGAGAACCATTTCGTCATTGGCTTTAATGATCCAAATTTCGTTCTTTATGATGAGTTCAGATCTTTACACCTGTTTAAGATTAATGAAGGCTTATCTTTATCAGGATATATTACTGTACAAAACTATGGGACTTTATCAAAACAAATTTCACCCATAATGGAATTATACTCTAACACAGTGCACAGCCTCCAAAGCCTCAGGATGGTCGGGGGTGGGTACCTTGCGCTGCGGGTTGGCCACCCCTCCGCACACCTCTTGAAATGCTCCCATATGACCGGGCGTCTTACATAGCCTCTCCTGAGGAAGTCCTACTCACTGCCTTCACGTGGCGGAGGTGTTTCTCACCAAAGTGAGAGGGCAAAAGCGGATGCCCGGCGCTCTTCACCGGGTTGACTGTCCGTTGGAAGACAGTCTAGGGGAGATGGCTAAACCCTGATTCCAAACCTCCAACGACTGGCGTATGAAGCTCACTGGAGCTCACCGGCAGACGTATGGACAAAGGGCTTGTTGGATGTCCTGGATGTGTGGCCCCATTCAAAAAGGCGTATGAACCGAACTCCGGTCACCGGCTGCCAATGGATAGTGGACTCTTTACTCCACTCCTACTGCCTTGTAGGTCACACTTGGCTGTGCAAAGGCTAGAGCTGCACTCTCAAACAAAAGGCCGAGCGACGCTGGGGACATCACTCGTACCAAATTCCCATGAAACTACATGAACTCTCTTACAAATTGCCGCGCCTGGGCAGCGATGATTCGAGACGTTCATGAAGCCGGCTCATCCTCTCGTAGGAGATAGCCGAAGTAAAGTAAAGTAAGTACAGTACACAAGTTCTATTCTTATATAAAGGTTTATCTTTCCTTTCCAGTTCTGGCCTACCTCAAAATCTTGATCCATACCACCTGTAATCAGAACTATGCTTCCCAGATAGGTGAAAGTGTTGACCTCCTTGAAATTTCTGCCTTTTTTTATAGATAATCTTAACTGTCTTCTACATTATTGTTCTTATTGTTGTTAAACTAGGTTGCCGAAGTATGGATCGATATGCAGTTGGAATTCAATGAAACAGACTTTAGACCAATTACACCAGATCAGCAGATGTTATCATGTATTTCAAACTGGTGTAAAAAACAACTTGACAATTTACAAAGTAGACAACAGAAAATATTAAAATCTTCAAAAGATGCTGAATTAAGCGATGAACAAAATTATTATTCATCAGTAAGTTTATCTACTTTAATATAATAAAGTAGTATAAAGAATAAACCAGAAGAAAATTATCCAAGTTTTATGTAGTTCTGGTTATAGAGGAGTTGCATTCAAGGAATCTTTAGAAACCATGAAGTACTGGACAGCTGCTCGTGTCTTAGTTTGGAATGGCATATCCATTGAAATTAATCCAGATTTCGATGAAATCCAGTAGCTCTGAATATCAATGATGCCTGGTGGCATGATGCGTAAATGTAGCATAAAATATTATGGTGCGAGCTAAGTGCAAGCCATAATTGTAGACAACAGTTTATGTCAGTGTTCACATCTCGAATCATAGTCATGAGAAAAACAATAACAAACCATAAGCTTGAGGAACTCACCAACCAATCACAGCTGACTTAGCGTGTGCAAATACGATTCGCAGATATGTGGCTTAACTTTCTAAGAAACGGCAAGAAAACAACCAGTCAGAAGAGATCGCTTCTCCACTAATAATAATCTTTTTGATGTGGTTGTGTCCTCTGAGCTGGATGGTTGATTTGCACAAATCAACTGGTTTTGATTCCACTGTCAGCCTGACTAACTGAACAGTCTTGTCAACCTTCATATAATGAGAGTGTGTTTTTTCTAGTCCCTGATATATAAGAAAATCTGTTCTGCGTTACTGAGTTCTAACTGATTAAATGAAGAATGAATTAGAGAATTAATTAGACTGTCAGCATATATACTTTAATTTTATCATCTGTTAGCTTTATTTTGTTTATCTCTGAGGTTTCCGTATAGCGTGTTTCAAGACAGTGTAAAATATGAGGTTAAACTAGGATTAATAATTTTCCAAGTGATGTCAAACTATGACAGGAAGCCTTGTTTCACCTAGGTTGCGCGCTAGTTGGCACTCGTCAGAAAGGAGTATCTACAAGCTTGAATGAACTCATATCCTTTCTGAGATTCGAACCCGCGTTACTAGTTACTAGTGTCCAATCCAAAGTATCCACTACAGTCCTACAGGAGGTCAACCGCGAGCCTGAATAGCTCAGTGGTAACGTCTCTGACTGTGGCACTGTTTGACACGGGTTCGAATCTAAGGAGGGACATGAAATCCTTCGAAGTTGCAAATATGTCCTGCTGACTGACTGGTGAATGCCAACTAGCATGAAATCTAGGTGAAGCAAGGTTCCCTTCCTAATTGCCTCCAACCATCTAATATCATCAAATCAATGTGCATCGTGATGGCTAGCCACCTAGAATGGTGGTCATATTGCAAACCTGACTGATAGAATTCAGTCTACAGCAAAGAAAGGAGACTAGACACATCACACTAGTCACTAACAAGTGTCCAATCAAAGTATGACAGAATCTGTCTTGAAAGCAACTAGACTTTCTCAAAGCTAATAGTTTTTCCCCTTGATAATGACTAGTTTTCAGATGAACTCCTTGAAGTTCTAAAAAGGATTTTAATATCCAATTGGGTTCATAAATTTGAACATGGAAACACTGGGTGATGGTAGGACTATACCGGTAATTGTCAAAGGCTTTCAAATGTCAACCCATCAACTGAATGTTAATTCATTCATTTCGAAGTTTCATAGTATTATGTTTTATCTTCTGCAGGATCATACGTTCTTCCTAGTGACGACTTTAGAATTCGAAATAACAAATTGTTCAGCTCCCATCCAATTCGCTCATTTTAAGTGACTGAAATCCCATTAGATGATAATAATAACAATTGTGACATTGAATTCATTCGTTCAGAACACACAAACGCACATATACATGCATACAATGATTGTTCACTTGGCAGTGAACGGTTTCAGGTACTTAGTCCTCATGGTTGACTGTTAGAAATCAATACTGAGCTTCCTGTCTATTGACTCCAGCCGTCTTAAATCAATTAAATTGTTCTGTGATGATGATCCACCTAACTGACCGACAGGATTCAGTCAGCGACATTACTAAGGACTAATAACATGACACAGCTTAATTCCTAGTGATAATACTGTTAAGTATATTAACAAAAGTGGTCGGTCTCAGGCTGACATGTCGGCTTCTTTTGCAGATGCTTCGGCGATGTTTGGGCATGCAATTACAAGTTAACTGGGGGACGGTGACTATCAGTGAAATCCATGATGAGCATTTCGTACTATTTTGGACTCGTCATTTGGATGTACCTGCATTCCACAGTGATTGCTCGGTCCGGTCAACTGACGGGAAAATCTAAAATTCAATTAAAATAATTAATATGACCCGTCGCACAAGAGGTGGTGGCTCTCGTGGCCCAAGTGGTCTAGTGGATAACGCTTTGGCGTTTGAAACCATGGGCACTGAGTTCGAGCCTCGGTGGGAACATCACCACTCATTGGGGGATGCAGGCACGCCCAGTTGAAGGGTTCCAAATAGGACGAAATGCGCATCCTGGATTCCGCTGCCAGTCACTATCCACGAGTTAACTTATAATAACAAGAGCTTTCTTCCGCAAAAAGGTTTATACACAGTACAGAATTCTCAGCGTCTTTTATTGCAAAGTGTTGAATCTTTATACAATATTCTAAGTAATACAACAAACAAGAATACACACTTTGAAGCACTATTGTTTCACGCAAAACATGCTACAATGCTCAATCGTAGTTGTTCTGTATTTCCTTCTAAAAATGAGTAGCATTTGGTTGAAGCGTATTTGAAAAACAGCGTGAGTCTAAACACTGCCATTCATGGATATATTTGGATGATTAACATATTACGAAATGGAATAAAAATGGTGCATTTTGAAAGAAAGATTACCTGACCTATCAATAATTTCAGCAGTTTGCCATGACAGACCCATCAGAATATCAGTCACAGTCATACAGGAAGTCGGTCATTAGCTTGAGTGGCTCAAAGGTAACGTCTTTTTACTGTAGCACTGGGTGATGCAGGTTATAACCTTCTGAGGAGGTGGATATAAGTTCCTTCTCCAACACAGATATATTTTGTTAACTTATGTCAACCTACAGAAACAGTTATATATATATATATATATATACTTTTTAATTCATGAATAATTCCCATTCGAACATTAATAGACAAAAGACAAGTAGTTCAGCGAAGAGTCTCTTTTCGGCGAATTCATTTTCATATCTGTACAATCGCAAATATATATGGTTATTTTATGTGTGTGTATACATTAAATTTGTCAAACGAAAATACAGTTAGTAAGTTCAGATGAATTAGATGTCGATATAAGAGGGTAGTAACAAAAGTGATGAGGTGTCATAAATGATTGTTAAAAAAGAGTTACGTGATGGCATGAATAGTTTGATGAATGAGTTGTGCTCAGGGTGCACATGGAAACAAAATAATATACAGAATTAAACAAGGGTTTTAAGTTAGAAAAAAAATAAGCATACAAACAGAAGTAAGGTCAAATCAAACAAACAAACAAAAGTTAGGTCAAATCAACGGAGTTGTTACCATGAGAGTAGAAGTGCATAGTTCTGGTTCCACCAACTGAATGGCTAGGGCTCCTGCGATGCAAAGAAGACGGAATCGTACTGTCTTTGGAAGGTTGTTCTTCACTTTGTAGATTACTTTGAAGGAGGCGTTTGTTGACATGGAATGACCTGCAGTGTTGACGAGATGTTCGATAATTGCACTCCTTATACGGCCATTACTTCTTTTCTACCGCCGCGCTGGATAGTGTTCCATTACTCTTTTTGACAGGATGCGCGTTGAACGACCGATGTACCTGGCTCCACAGCAACAGGTGAACTGATATATACACATAGAAGTGGTCATGTGCGGAATCTTCTCCTCTAATGTTATTTGCTGCGGATATAGGGTCAGGCTGGAAAAAAGCTAGCGGCGGTCAAACAAAAACTTGGCACCAGTCAATGAAATCCACAACAGTTGGTCTAAGCCACGTAGGAAGGTGTAGACTTCCTGACTGGCTGGGGTCCTCGGGACGGCAAAAATCTATGGTTGGAAACAATTGGTGACATGGCTCAAAATCGTTCTCAATGGCTGGCGCAGATGCATCCACTCCTTGTGATTTATGATCTCCAATGAAACTGTTTTGTTCTTCGTTATTACTCCTCCTTTGTCTCACACCTCTGCTCACTGTTTCTATTATGCTCTTGTTGTACTTTCTTCTCTTGCTTCGCGTGCTACACGGAGTGTGGCGACTTGAACTTCCGCACATTTGTGCAAAGTTCTATGTCGAAAACAGACAGACAGACAGAATGTTATTTGCTAGGTGATGACTAACCGTAGAATCCAAGATATGGGTTTCATCCAGTCGGCTACTCGTCATCTGGATGTACCTACCTCCTGGATTTCACTATTCAACACCATCATATGCATAAATTTAAGTTAGAAATCATTATAAGATTCAGAGTTTGAGGTCCAGTAATCTCAATGGAGGATTGAAACAAACGTTAACTGACCCCCTGATAACCAGTCCTTATTAACACTGATACTTTTTTGGTTGTTTTCCCACAAAATAGTATCGGCTATTTCAGTGACACTCATTTTTTAAATAAAATGTGCTGACCAACTTTATTTTACCTTCATATATATCCGACTTCTTGATTTCTCTCTCTCTCTCTCGCTTTCTGCTTCTGTTTTCCCATTTCAGATAAGAAATATTATCCGAAATCATGAATACGCTATGAACAGCTATAATGATTACCTGGCAAGAACATCAAATTATGAATATTTAAAACAAGCTCGTCAGAAACAGTTATCAGCAATTGATGCATCACGTATTGGTGGACAGTTGAATAAGACGAAACAACATTTAGATGGTGAGAGTTCATTGAAATCATCTTTAGAATCTAATCAAGATGTACAGAAAAATGGTCTTCCTGAAAGAGAAGTCAAACATCATCCTCACCATCATCATCATCATCACCATCAACATCATAACCATCGTGCTGAAGTTGTTATACCAAGTAATATTTCAATTCATGGGACAGAATCTACAGCTTATCATAAAACAGATATTGACAAGCTGAATGTAACAGTGAGTATTTTAAAATTTAGGTATAAAGTTTCTGAGCAGCGGTTATTTGTTAAAGTCTTCATGATTAGAGCAGATGGAGAGAAATGCCTGAAAACGATGTAGAAGAACGATGAGACAGTCAATGAATTACGGGCGTTAAAACTGAGAAGAAGAATAATAGTTAAAACACTGCTTACGACAACACTATGTGTTTAAGATTCACCACTCGTCGGATAATCTTAAGCAAGTGAAGGATAAGCTTATGAGTCTGGCCATTTCAGTGTGTATTTATAAATTTAATTGTTTGTTCTCCCTGTTCATTAATGTCTCTTTATTAGGGACCATCGACTTTATCTGTGAATCTCTTATAGAAAATGATAAGGAGGTAGGTATACCACCTCGAACACTACGGGGACTGCTACTGCGTTGTACGATGAAATATGCAGTTTAACCTCGAATTTTACCGTCGTAGCAATGGAGTCCCCTTTGGGTCCTCTCTTAGACGATATGCTTATGGCGAAATCAGAGAATCATCCACTCAAGAACGTAATCAACGAACTCTTGTTCTACTGTAGATATATGGACGATACTTTTATCTTGTATAATAGTTAAATAGATTCCGAGGTCCTTCACCAAAAGTTCAGTATGCCTCCCCCACAAATTGAGTTCACATATGAAAAGCAGAAAGACAACACTTTATCATTTCTTGATGTTCTGCTAACAAGAAGGCAAGATGGCAGTATTAAGAGGGGTATTATCCGGGAGAAGCCATGGGTTGGAAAATATACCCGTTTCAGGTCATTTGTTCCTCTTTCATGCAAGCGAAATCTTATCAGTGCGTTGATGTATCATGCTAGAACAATCTGCACAACTGAAACACTAGACGATGAAATGAAGAAAATAGAAAACTTTTTATACAGGAACGGATACCTCGAAGAATTTGTTGAAGTCTCGATGAGGAGAACAGACAGAACTAGGTGCCTCCAAGCTGTGCTGAAGAAACGCATGTACATGACTTTATCTTTTAAAGGAGACGCAGCAAATGAATTGCTGGAATCGAAACTTCAAAAAATAATAACTAAAACATTCTTGGCCGTAAAATTACGTTTAAAATCTTCCACTCGGATAATTCCAAGCAAGGGAGGGATAAGCTACTGAATCTGTGCATTTATAAGTCTAGTTGTTCTTGTGGAGACAGTTACATAGGTAGAGCAACTTGGAAAGTTCACTTTTGGTTAACTGTTTAACGTAGTTAGAAATAGGAATCGAAAAGTTACATATTAGCCCCCCCCTTAGTGAATGTCAAGCACGAAATTGGTTAAAAATACGGCTTTTACAATTCTATACAAGGTTACACTTCAGTTCTCGAGTTCTGTACGCCTTCGATTGCTAAGAATAACTGATACAGCTGCCATAAAATTGTTTTCAACCCAGTCTGTGTGTTCAGAAGAAAAGTTGCTCCGATCTCTCTCCCTGTCATGGCTTTTTGGCCCAATCTGGGATAGTTATCCCTCCCATTTGTACTGTGTCGTCGGTAGCACAGTGGTTAGGACTCTCGCCGACCATGCATATGGTCCGGGGTTCGAGCCCACGCCGACGCACACCTGATATCTATGGTCGGCCTGCGAAATTTGGGCTACCGATATCCACGCTGAAAATTCCATACTTGTACCAAAAATACAGTGTGGAATCAAGCTGTAATCAAAAATAAAAAAAAATAAACAAATATTATCTCTCGGTGGTCGAACAGAGTCGGCTCTACGGTGTTCATTTCTTCTGATTATGATTTCTCGAGATGTTTGTCCGATGTATATCGCATCACATTCTGAGCATTTTATTTTGTAGACACAATCAGATAGAGAATGTTTCAGTTGTTTCGCAGTGTGTGTGTGTGTGTGATGTTTTGAAGAAAGTTTTAATGTCGAGCTGATTGAGTACTCTTCTGATATCGTCGGACGTCTCTACTATGTATGGAATAACGACTGTTGAGGTCCATGTTTTCGGAATGCGTTTTAAGCGATACTTGATGTTTGTGTTGATTTTTTGATGAAGTTCCTTGGGTAGTTGTTTTGCTTGAGAGTTTCAGTAATGTTTGATATTTCTTCTTTGTTCTTTTTCTTTCTCATCCGTTCACATCAGTGAGTGTCCTCGTCTAAGAAGACTTGAGCCAACTGAAACCTTTGCGCTGATGGGGTATGATGATCCGAAGTCTAAATATTTATTGCAATGGGTTTTCTTCCTGAATATGGATATACTAAAATGTCCATTTTCTCTCCTCTTAACTAGGCAGGCAGTTTAGAAATGGTAGTTCACCGACGTCTGAGTCTGTCTACTTCCGAGGTAAACTGGACTCTTAGAGACAGATTGTTCAGTTTCTTCAAGAATGAACTGTGTAGATCTCGCTTTAGCACTACAAAAGTATCATCTATATATCTTAACCATATTTGATAAAGCTATTAGCAGCAGCATTAAATAGCGAGACGTCAGTAAAAACAATATCGTTTTATTTTTCATTCATTGGGAAATAAAAAAAACTTTTATTATTATTATGAACAAACAATCTGTTATCTGGAAATAAATAAATCCCCATATTGAAATCAAAACAACAGTTTGAGCGAACAACGGTGGTTTCGATAACTTCTTCTTCAGGCTCTACAATTATAAATCCATGATTAATAGAGTACATATAGCCAGCCAATAAAGGCAAATGAAAATAATATCAGAAACTGTATTGGGGTGAATGTGTAAGTTGAGAGATGATAGTCCATTAGTTAGCATAGTCAATTAAATGTGTATAGGGTGTATAGTCAGAGGAAAATGTGATGAAGTGTGAATGAACAATTGGGTGATATAGTGTTGTTTTTTATAGTTAACAGAATACAAGTGTCATTGGGGTGAGAAAAATGCGATAACCACAAAATACATACAAACACTCATTAACAAAGGATGCACTGAATGTGAGGGCTGACCGATAATGTCTAATGATAAAATAAAGAGGCTAAATTGTAAATTGTAATAAAATGCTACCGAATTGGTAGGCTTAGTATAAAATCATAAAGGTTGACAAAAATAAGGGTAACAATGAGGTGAAATAAACTGGGTGGAGAAATGGATAATAAAGACATGGTATCACAAAATAATAAAAATGATAATAATAGTACGAAAAATTATGATCCTGGTGACCTTATAGTGGGCCAGGGTAGACAAAGAGAGTGAATAGGTTTTTCCTGTAGACATAGGTCTGGTCTCCCTCTATTAATCTCTTAAGCCTCAGCTATGGCTAGGAGGCGTAATCGTGCGCCTTTGAGGAGATTGTTCGGTACTCGATACACAAGTGTACATCACTCATCTACTTTGATGCTGTGTTCGCTATCCACTTGATGAGACAGAATTGCACTATTTAATGATTTGGTTGCTCTTTTCCCAAGCCAAACAGGAATATGTTCACGAGTGCGTAGAGGTAAATTCCTCTGGGTACGACCTATATAACTAGCTCCACAGGAGCAGTTCAATTTATATACACACATTGATGTAGCCGTTTTGGGCAATCTATCTTTAATGCACAGTGTCAATATCGGTTTGGCTGAGAAGCTGACATGCAGTTTTGCGACATTAAAAGTTCTTTCAATTGATCTTGTTAATCTACGGTTTAATATATCGCTGGGTTTATCACCTTTGAGTTGTACACTTGAGTAAAGCTTTTTCTTACTTACTGTGTCTCGCTTGGTATTATGTGTAGTTTTGTAGATATACTTCGTTACAAAGTTGGTAGGATAGTCATTTTGCAGCAAGGCGTTTGTAAGATTTCTTATTTCATCTTCAATACAATCCTCGGTACGTATGCGTCTAATTCTATGACTAAGACAACGAATTAGGTTGCGCTTATATTGTATAGGTATGAAGTTATGGAAGTGGTTGTATTGTCCGTTCCACGTCGCTTTCCAATAGATGTTTCTTTTCAAGGTTTTCAAGCCGCCCTGTTATTTAATCGCTAAGAGACAGTAGTTGTATTCCTCTCTACCCCTAAAAGAACACACATTCATGCATTCACGACGACTAGATTATATAAACATTTGAATGAATTTATCCTTACTGCGCGTCGGTGGCACAGTGGTCAGGACTCTCGCCGACCATGCATATGGTCCGAGGTTCGATCCCCTGCTGACGCACACCTGATATCTATAGTCGGCCTGCAAAATTTGGGCTACCGATATCCATGCTGAAAATTCCATACTTGTACCAAAAATACAATATGGAATCAAGCTGTAATAAAAAAATAAAAAAAATATTACGATCACACTGATGATTATCCATTAACTAGTATGCTTCGGATGAGGATGTCAAAACGACAACGGTAAAGGCATGACAGACCTTCATCACCCTGAAATCAGTTTGTAAATCTCCTGCATGCACTATAAAGAACGATCAGAAACTTGACGCATCATGAGAAGCAGACTTTTATATCCAGCTGCACACACTTCGCTGGCTCCAAACTGAAGATTAAACGGTCAGAAAGAATTAGCAACAAGCAACTCTAGCTTAGAACAAATCAACCAAAAAAATGATCGCTCAGCAAATATGTAAAAGAAAATACAGATGGATTGGACATACGTTGAAGAGGCCATCAAACGATATCCGGCACACCAACCAGGCCGTCACTCGAGTGGATTCCGAATGGCAAGCCATGAGTGAGTCATCAATGTGAGGGTGATTTGTAGAAGATCGTGTGAGAAAGAGAGATGAGTGATTATGGTCAATCGTGGAGTTAACCACTTGAAGAGGACAGCAGAAAATAGAGTAAAGTGGAGATGTGTTGTTGAAGCCCTAAGTTCCACTGGGAATCTGTTATGTACTCGTCGCTAAATTATTGTTATGTACTGGTCGAGAATTTAATAGTCCTGACGCAAGAAGGCGGAAATCAGAAGACCACTAGGTTTGCGATGATACTTCTATTTTCCAAACACAAGGAGAATGCAAATAAGTGGTATCACACCAAAGTAAGTAAGTAAGTCACACAAATTGTGAGAGCGAAATATATATGTATGTCCAGACAAGGGTGTGAACAATCATTAGACAGTCTTAACATGAATGGCTAATTATAATGAAGTATCGATCCATATATACATAGCAAAATATAGCAGACATGTCAACAACCACACATATAATATGGATATATGTCACCAAGCAACGGACTGTCAACAAACACTCATATTATATTATATATAATATAAGGGGAATATACATTGTTAAAGGAGACAGGTTCATCAATGTGAAATGGTCACAGACTAAGCGAGTAAACAGAAAGAGAGATCACCATATATATATATATATATATATATATATATATATATATATATATATATATATATATGGATATATATCAGAATCTAAGGACGTAATCATAACAATAAATTCACATATCTAAACTTCATTCCAGTTAAACACAAAATAATTTCCACTGGGAACAAAAATGAATAAAAAATACGCATGAAAATATCACTCAGATCACAGATTTATTATACTCACCTCTTAGGAAACACGTATTTGAAGGGAATATTCAACGGAGAATTTCACGCAGTTATCAGAAGAGCAGTTCGAGTTGCTGCGTTCCAATAAGTACATATAAAGATAAGAGAAAGAGTGCCGAAAATCTTTACTTAACGGAAATGTGTGGTATAAAGAATGATCACACGCAGAATAGTAGTCATTTAATAACTCTAGCAGAAATTTCTTAAAATTTTTTTGCATTTTTACATAACGCGACATTCACATGTTAGAATAAATCTTTCTCATTTGGAGCTAAAGGTGTGTAAAATGTCAAGTCTTTACAGAATGCGTAGGATTCTGTTGGGGCTTTTCAAATATAAGATTTTTTAAAATTTTTGATTATAGCTTGATTCCACACCTTATTTTTGGTACAAGTAAGAAGTTTTCTGGAAGAAACAACCTCCTTTACCTACCTTCCTACCTGGGAAGCATCGTTTCAACTACAGGCGGAACTGACGAGGATATCAAAGCAAGAATCGGGAAAGCAAGACAAGCTTTCATTACTCTGAAGTCTGTGTGGAGGTTAACAGCACTCAGCATGAAAACCAATATAAGATCCAGATTTTCAACTCCAATATGAAGTCAGTGCTACTTGTCGCTTCAAGGAGAGCACTTCAAACAGACTACAGACCTTCATTAACAGCTGTCTTCGCTCAATACCACTCAAGATCAGATGGCCAGGAAAAACTAGCAAAAGGGATCTCCCGGAGTGAACCAACCAGGAACCGATTGTGAAACAAATAGGCAGGAAGAAATGAAGATGAATTGGCCATACTCTGAGGGAACCATCAAGTGACATCACTAGACAAGTTATCGCTAGATTGGAACCCGAAATAGAAGCGGCAAGTTGGTCGTTCACGGGTGGCTTGGAGGAGGTCATGTGAAGAGATGAAGGCGTGTGGGCAGACTTGGAGAGGGGTGGAAAACTCTAGCAGAGAATCGAACGCAATGGAGACGTTTGGCTGAAGCCCTATGTTCCTCTAGGGATGAAAGGAAATAATAATAATAATAAGGAGTTTTCTGCATGTGATATCAGTAGCCCAAATTTTGCAGGCCGACTATTGATATCAGGTGTTTGCGTCGGCCAAGGATCCAACTCCGGACCATGTACATGGTTGGCGAGAGTCCTAACTGCTGTGCCAGCGACGCCACCAAGGATGAAATGTGCATAGGGACTGAGACTTGTCACTTACAAATAACACAGTTTGAAATGAAAACAGTTTATGATTCCTATTTGGGGATCAAAATAGTTCCAGTCGTAATATTTGATCTGTTCGACAGTAATAAATGACAATCAACATAACATGATGCCAAGTGTTACTGATTGACCAATATAATAATAATAAAAATAATAATGATTTACTTTATTCCAAAAACAGTACTTGTGATACAGAATGGAATTCTCAGCATTAATCACAATATTGCATCTAATTTCCTCAAATTATAAATAAAATTAATCACACAGAAAACTTTCCACGTTTACAGTAGAGGTAATGTCAAAAACATGCAGCGAATGAAATGGAAATAGTAATAATACTGATAACAGCTAAGGTAATAATAATAATAATACAAGTGAAAATTGCTGTGGGCTTGTTTCACACAGTATTGTTGATGCGGTATGGAAATCCTAGCATGTTAAAAATATTAAATATAATGTTCTCTTTACATGATATGGTGAGGGGAAAAACAAAGATTACAGCAGTCATAGCGATAAGTTGGTGTTTGCAATTATGAAAGTAAAACAAACCAAGAAGTAACAGGACCATACATATAATAGAAATAATAAAAGTAAAACTTGAAGGTATATAAGGATGGATGGATGGAGGATATTGTTTATTTACTAGATGAAAAAAGGTTAGTTAATTGTTGCCTGACACTATTTTCATCACATAAAATACGTGCTAAGTATGGTATCATAGAATTTCTATACTTAGACGTGCGAGCATACGGTTTCCTGAAGTTACTCCTTGTTCTACCTGAGGAGATGCAAGGTGAAAGCTGAGAGTAAAGCGGATGCTCCAAGTCAGACAAAACCCCTCTAGCAAATTTATTGCACAAAGTCAAGTGCCCATCGATAACAACATTAATTATATGGTTCACTGGGACACCACTCACCCTACTGATAGTCTTCAGCATTCTACGAATTGTGGCAAAGTCCTTTTTAAGCAAACCAGGAAAGAAGAAGCAAGGGTGAACAATAAAGAAGAATAGGTAGGATGCAAGAGTTTATGAACTGTAAGAGGAGGGCTTGGTTGAGTTATACCCGAGTGCCTTAACTTCTTAATGTAAAATGTCAGGCGGAATATTTTACTGGAGATCGCTAAGACATGAGAAGACCAGTAGAGATCAGAAGACAGAATAAGTCCAAAATATTTAATTTCTGACTTGATTCCTATATCACTGTCGTCAATCGTACAACTGTCATGAGAATCGATGACTTCTTTTAACTGTCTTATACATCTTAAGCTGATTATGGTCAGCTGTGATTTAGTCACATCAAACAATAGTACCTGTTAGGTAGATCGAAGCTTTTCTAGATGGCAGAAAATCGTCTCACTAGTTTGCAAATGGTTTAATTAGTGATTTATCTGAACTGACTCAGTCCGGGATGTCAATTCAATCTATAAACCATCCAAACTCTGACTATCTACTCGGTTCAGCCGTTAGCGCATAGAATCGAATTCCAAATAAGCAAACTATCCACAATTCGAGGTGGAAATTTACCAACCTTTCGGTTTGGAAACTGAAAGTATCCACAGCAGAATATATAGTCTGTTTAGTGTCATGAACAACAATCAACAAAGAAAGCATAAATGTATAATAGCATTTACTAAAAATCCACATAAAAGTTTGTAGTAGATACAAGAGCTGATTCGTCTGTCAGGCTTAAACCAAACTCAGCTTACCATTGATAAATCTATCTTCGAATCCAATTCGAATACTTTTCTGGTGCCCGTGTCACCTCAGTCTCACTGGCAAACACTACTGCATCATGACATAAATGATTCTGACCAACTAACTACACATACCAAACTCGCCTAGATTACTATCTCGCTAGCAAAATCCAGCATCAGTCACCATCAACGGGAGGGATTTGGAAGAGGTTACTTCATTCACTTATCATCTAGGGAGCATTGTCTCAACTACAGAAGGAAGAACGGACGAGTATGTCAAATCGAGCGAGAATCGGGAAGGCGAGAAACACATTTATCAACCGACTGAAACCAATCTGGAAATCTTCGTCACTCAGCCACCATCAACAACAAAATTCAGTCGGATTTTCAATACAAACCACGTCAAGTCAGTCACTTCTTCTATATGGATCAGAAACTTAGAGGGCGGGTGGGTCACAAAGAATATTCCCAACAGCCTGTTCCAGACCTTTATCAACCAACAACTGTTTTCGCTTTATACTGAAGATCAGATGGCTGGGCTGGAAAGAATCACCAGCAACAAGAAACTATGGGTAGGAACAAACAAAACAAGAACCAATCGCAGGAGAACAAATATGCAGGAGAAAGTGGAGATGGATTGGACACTCGCTCGCTGAGGAGGCCGCCACTGGGTGACATCGCGCGCGTCAGGCCATTGCTCGAGTGGAACCAGGCCGAAAGGGAAGCGGTGAGTGGGACGTCAGTTCGGGGGTGTCATGAAGGAGTTCGTGTGAAGGGGAGGAGTTGAAACAGTATGGACTAACTAACATGGATGCAGGTGAAAACTACAGCAGAAGGAAGACAGAAGTGGCAAGTGGAGAGGTGGATTTGAAGCCCTATGTTCCACCAGGAACCCAAGGGAACAATAATAATAATAAACTACTCATGTCAGTATAAGGTGAGTATATCCTAGCATGAAATACGCATAAAACAAGCAGTCTGATATCGATTATCCTTGACTAATGCTTATTCTAATTACTTTGCTTTGAATTAATTTTCATTTTTTTAGGCTTTCTGTTCACAATCAGTTACAATCGATTCAACACCAGCACATTTGTTTATGCATCCAACAAAAATTGAAGAAGAACTACTCAAGGTTATCGAATTAAAACAATCTCAAATGACCAATGAAAGTGATGAAGATGATGTTTAAACTGATCAGTTGACTAATTAATTAATCAATAGTAATTAGGAGGCAGAAATGAAAACGAAAAGATAGAAAAGGATAGTTCTAGGATATTTTCATCTCTCACTTGTTTGTTTCATTTATTATTCTTGTTTGATAAATATAAACACAAATAATTAATTAGACAATAAAGAGTAGTAAGATGTCAAGATCTTTTTCTGATTAATATCAATATCAATAAACATCGATGTCGGCATTCTTATATCTTTTTATAAAAGAGCTCCTCTTGAGATGCACAATGAATGTTCACCCTTTATCTAATAAGGATCTATGTAGACATATCGATGATGTGGCAATGGGGTCATCACTAAGACACCCATTCTAGCCGACATTTTCCTTGTGAAAGTAGAAAATGGGACTTTGAAAGATGTCATTAATGAACTTGAATTCTATTGTCGGCAAATGGATGATACATTTTTGAATATGAAAAATGAGCAGGTAGCAAAGAACATCCTGTCTGGATAAATTAAACGAGGTAGGTTCATCCTGCAATAAATTTTACTATTGAGAAAGAAAGAGAATCTAGTATTTCATTTCTAGACGTCCTTATGAACAGGAAAAAGGATGGCACAATAAGAAGAAGTGTACATAGAAAACCTACATCAACTGACTGTCAGTATACTCATTTTTTTCAGCTTCGTGCATTTGAAATACAAACGCAATCTGATAAAGTGTTTGGTTCACATAGCAAGCGCAATCTGATCGGATGAATGTCTTGATGAGGAACTTAATAACATTAAATGGTCACTGAGTAAAAATGGTCATCCTGAAAAGTTTATTGATAAGAATATGAATCTAAAATCAAAGCAGATCAAGGTACCACCAGTTCCTAACAAGGCCTTATTCTTACGAATTCGCTTCCTTGGGGACAACATCAGCGAAATACTAACACAACGCTTTAGAAATTCGGTGAAAAAGAGCATTCTGTACTGCCGAATTAATATGTGTCTTCAAAACCACTCCTATTTTGCGTTTGAGAGTAAAAGATAAACTGCCTAATTTCGCCTCTCTCAATTTAACTGCTCCTGTGGAGTTAACCAGTTACATAGGCCGTACAATTAGGCGTGTTTCTCGTCAAGTTTCCGAACATCACCCTGCCTGGTGGTTAAGTAAAGGACAAACAAAACCTATTCGTAGTGGTATTCTATCTCATCTTAAGGATACACAACACAAGATTGGTGTTAACGAGGCAGCTTTCAAAGTCATTTACCGCATACCAACAAATCTTAACTTAGCCTTAAGAGTTCGTTTACTAAATATTACTGAGGCTGGCTGTTGGAATCCACACTAAGAAGCCTAACATATGTGTCCTTACCTTGGCCATCTAGATTTGAATGATCCTCAATTTTTGTAGAAACTTCCGTAATTTTAGATGATATTCTATTCGCTACTATGTCTTTATTATTATTATTATTATTATTATTATTATTATTATTATTATAATCTAAGCATCTTTAATGAACTGTGGCGATTCCATTGTGATCTTACTTTACAAATTGATATTATCTAAAAAAACACTAATATTGTTATTACCTACTATTCTAGAATATTTATTTATTTATTTTTGATTACAGCTTGATTCCACATTGTATTTTGGGTACAAGTATGGAATTTTCAGCGTGGATATCGGTAGCCCAAATTTTGCAGGCCAACCATAGATATCAGGTGTGCGTCGGCGACGGCTCGAACCCTGGACCATGTGCATGGTCGGCGACAGTCCTAACCACTGTGCCACCGACGCACATGTTATGTACATAAACATTTGTATATATAATTGTGAAAAGGTTGGTGAGCGCGCTTTTCGACTATTACGCTACATTTTGGTCATAAATAAAATCTCTTATTACTCTAAAATTTTATGCAAAGTGTTTGCGGAAATTATCACAATTATTAACCTTTCGAACACTGAATCCAAAAAATACAATCTTATTGACAGATAATACACATAACTCACTGTTTGGATTTGTGGAATTTTTAAACATAAACACATCTATAATTGTATATATTGTTGGATTTATATGTTCAAGTTGCTCCAAGTCAGTGAGTTTATGGTTAAGATATCATTTTAGTTAACAATACTGAACTATATTGCATGTTGTCTTATTGTATAGTTGTCGTCGCTTTTTGCCCTTTTTTCTGTGAACTGTTTCCTTTGTTGATGTTGTTCTCATTGTTTGTCCGTTATTTTCTGATTTTGAGGGGAGCAACCCAAAAAGTTGCTTCTCTCTAAACTTTTACTTAATGTAATCATTCTTTTCTCAGGCGTGAGGCTAGCAACCACACCCTGTAAACAAAGTTGCTACAGAACCTTCAGCAAAATGAACCTCTTTGCACCAAAAGAAAAAGTCTGTGTAGGAACATGGAACGTCCGAACTATGTACGAGACTGGAAAAGCTGCCCAGATCGCCAACGAGATGAAAAGATACGGAATACAAGTGCTGGGAATATGTGAGAGCAGATGGAATGGGAGTGGACTCACCAAATTGTCAACAGGTGAGTCAGTGATCTACTCCGGTCACCCAGAAGATAACCACACGCACACCGAGGGCGTGGCTATCATGATGTCACCAACGGCAACGAAAGCCCTGATACAATGGGAGGCGATTTCGTCCAGGATAATGACCGCCAGGTTCAACTCCAAAGGAAGGAAAGTGTCAATCATACAATGTTATGCACCCACAAACAACGCAGACCTCGAGAAGAAAGAAGAATTCTACAGGCAACTACAGGCAACAATGGACAATACTCCAGCTGGCGACATGAAAATACTAATGGGAGACATGAACGCCAAACTGGGACCAGACAATACGGGAAGGGAACTCATCATGGGTAGAGAAGCTCTAGGAGAAATGAATGAAAACGGAGAACTCTTCGCCGACTTCTGCGCCTTCAACGAACTGGTGATTGGTGGCAGTGTATACAAGCACAAAGATATCCACAAGGCTACATGGGTGTCACCAGACGGGCAAACCAAAAACCAAATCGACTTCATCTCAATCTCAAGGAAGTGGAGGCGCAGCCTACTGGACACAAAAGCAAGAAGAGGAGCAGACGTTGGCTCAGACCACTATCTCGTACAAGGGACAATCCAAATCAAATTAAAAGCTTTCAAAGAAGGAGGAGCTGCAGATAGACCACAAGCCAAGTTCAACACTCAAAAGCTGAAGGACCAGGCTACAAAGGACATCTTCATTGCAAGCATAAAGGACAAAGCCGAGACACAAATCAACACTAGCGAAGAGGTCGGCGTTGAAAAGCACTGGAACAACTTGAAAACGGTGTGGAGCCAAACCTGCATAGAAATTCTAGGCAGAAAAAAGAGACAGGACAAACAGTGGCTCACTACGGACACTTGGAAACTAATAGAAGAGAGAAGGACAGTGAAGCAAAAGATTATCCAGTGCTCCGACGAGCAACAAAAACAGGAGCTGAATGCAAGCTACAATACACTGAACAAAAGAGTGAAGAAAAGTGCCAGGGAAGACAAAAGAAAATATTATGAAACCATGGCAAACGAAGCAGAACAAGCTGCAGGCAAAGGAGACCTCGCCACACTCTACCAAACAACTAGGAACCTTTCGGGCAAACGTTCGACACAGATTAAGCCAATAAAGGACGACAATGGAAAGTCAATCACCAAAGAGGTGGAACAGAGAAAGCACTGGGTTGAACACTTCAAAAGACTTCTAAATCGTCCGCCACCTACAACACGTCCAGCAATACCAACAACGGAAGCAGAACTACCAGTGAACACTGACCCCCCGACGAAATCAGAAGTCCTGAATGCAATCAAGATGCTTAAAACTGGGAAAACACCGGGACCAGATGGAATCCCAGCAGAGGCTTTGAAAATAGACCCAGAGACAACAGCGGACTTGATGACACCACTACTGGAGAAGGTGTGGAAAGAGGGCAAAGTACCCGAGGATTGGAAGAACAGTTACTTATTCAAACTTCCAAAGAAAGGAGACTTAAGTCAATGTAAAAACTGGCGTGGAATTATGCTTCTGTCCATTCCAAGCAAGATACTAAGTCGCATCATCCTGGAGAGAATCAAACAAGCCCTAGATGAAAAACTTCGTCCGGAACAGGCTGGATTCAGGAGAAACAAATCATGTATTGATCAAATCGCCACTCTACGGATCATCATTGAACAAAGCTTGGAATGGCAGTCACCTCTCTATCTCAACTTCATCGACTTTGAAAAGGCCTTCGACAGCGTCGATCGAGAGGTCATTTGGAAACTACTTCGCTACTACGGGGTCCCATCGACAATTATACACCTCATCCAACAGTTATACGACAATGCTGCATGCCAAGTAATCCACAACGGGAAACTTACGGAAGCCTTCGAAGTGAGGACGGGAGTGAGGCAAGGCTGTCTACTATCACCAATGATCTTCCTGATTGCAATTGATTGGATAATGCGACAGACAACGGCAACCAACGAGGGAACAGGCATAAAATGGACTGACACAAAAGACTTGGAGGATCTGGATTTCGCCGATGATATATGTCTGATTTCCCATAAACTGGAAGATATGCAAATGAAAAGTAACAAGTTGGCAGAAGAAGCATCAAAGATAGGACTTCACGTGAACATAGATAAAACAGAGATGATGAAGATTCCTTGCCAACATCAACAGCAACAACAGACCACAATAAGCATAAATGGGAAGAACCTGAAAGAAACAACCTCCTTCACCTACCTGGGAAGCATCGTCTCAACTACAGGCGGAACTGACGAGGACATCAAAGCCAGAATCGGAAAAGCAAGACAAGCTTTCATTACTCTCAAATCTGTGTGGAGGTCAACAGCATTCAGCATCAAAAATAAGATCCGGATTTTCAACTCCAATGTGAAGTCAGTGCTACTATACGGATCAGAGACTTGGCGAGTCATAAAGAGCATCTCAAACAAACTTCAAACCTTCATTAACAACTGTCTCCGCTCAATACTCAAGATCAGATGGCCAGAAAAGATCAGCAACAGGGATCTCTGGGAGCGAACCAATCAGGAACCGATTGTGAAACAAATAGGCAGAAAGAAATGGAGATGGATTGGCCATACGCTGAGGAAACCATCAAGTGACATCACTAGACAAGCCCTCGAGTGGAACCCGAAAGGGAGGCGGCGAGTTGGTCGTCCAAGGGTGACTTGGAGGAGGTCATGTGAAGAGGAGATGAAAGCATGTGGGCAGACCTGGAGCAGGGTGAAAAAGTTGTCAAAAAACCGAAGTCAATGGAGGTGCGCAGCTGAAGCCCTATGTTCCTCTAGGAACTAAAGGATACAATAATAATAATAATA